TCCAAGGATTTAGAGTGTGGATACCAATGGGTAGAGGTGTGCCCCAGCAACCTGCAACAAGAGATAAACTGTTCGCTGAGAAATGGGAACCAAGCACATCAGTGAGTGTTTCTAGAAGCTTCGCTGGTTTAGGGTGAGAGTCAGGAGTGTCTGGTTTGGGTATGTCTTGATTTCAATTCCCAAGCCTGATTTTCATTCATGAAAGCTTATGGAAAAGGGTGGGCTAAGTTCCGGGGTAATAAGACAGTAGCTTCCTGAGCTTACACTAATCACACCCAAGTTATGAAATGGAGCCAGTATGAAAAAGGAGCTTTCCAAGACCAGATAACAAAGAGAAGCTGGGAAAGGCCAGGCTTCCTGGGGATGCACATAAGTTAATTCAACTAACCAGAGCAGCATGGTCTATTTGTATGGGGACATCAGGGCCTGTCTAAGATCACACAGCTTAACCAGTATGTTCTATTGCATCCTCCCATACTATTCAACTCCGTACTCCGATAGCACTATGGCTTATTGATGGAGCACAGATTCTGGAATCAGGCTTCTTAAGTTCAAATTCTTCCCTCCTACCTTATTAACATGGCCAAGTTCATTAATTTCCCTGGCCTTGGTTTCTTTATTTATACAACTTAAAAACAACATTACCTATTTTTTATAGGGATGTTAAAAATAAATAAAATATTGCATATAAAACATTTAATGCCTCAAACAGAGTAAATACTCAATCCATGGTAGCTATTGATATTAGTTTTCCGGCTCTGACGTTTCTGTTACCCATTCTCAAGAGAGATTTGAATAGAGACAGTGCTAGTTCTTTTTCCTGGAATTAGGTTCAGCAAAGTTTTCTCTTCTCACGAGTAAGTAGTTGCATGGTTCCATTGAACCTTAGCTTTTAGTGAGTACAATCCCATCTTTCACAGACAGGACTTACACTAAGCAAGTTCCTAGGAGAGTTGTGGTAGGACTCATGTCTCCTAACTCTCAAGGCTGTACTTGTTTTACCCCACAATTGCGCCTCTTCTCTTAAGAAAATCTAATGAAGTCAGCCAACACAGGATGATAAAAATACATCTATTTAAAATTAATTGAAAAAAAAAACTAACTCAATTACTACAGTAAGAAGAAAAATATGCACATTCTTTCTCTTGTATATAGACAAGGGTACACAGATTCATTAAACAAAATCAGACAGACTTTTTTTCTTTGTCTGATATAACGTATTTTTATGCAAACGACACACACCTTCTGTTTGTTTGCCAGCTGCTCTCTCTCCCTCCCCTGTGAGATATTTTAGTAAGTGCATTATGCTAATTTTCTAACAGCAACATGTAAAAAACAATTAGCATAGCAGCACTTATAAAAATACCTTGTGAGAGGAGGGGTCGGTTGGCAAACAAACATAGAAGGCACACGTTATTTTCATAAAAATATGGTACTATTATTTTAGTTACAAATTTTAGGTTAAAATCACCTGGGGAGGTCACTTTGCTGGACGTTCTCCTTTTTTATCTCCAAATTCCATAAAGCTTCTTGAAAGGAAGAAAAATAAAGAGAAAAAAATGAATTATGATTTAGACTCAACAGAAGGATCACTAAGGTATCTTGTAAAGTTTGAGCCACACTTTTCTTCTCCAGATTTTTCTATGTCAGAAGAAAATAAGACCTAAGATTTCTTTAGTAGTTTATAGTTGGCAAGCCATGTACGCATAATTATCTCTCTGAATCTGCCAACAAACTTATTAGTTAAGTGTGTTTTCCTTTATAAACTCTATGGAGTCAGATATATTGGTGTATTTGTTTATAACTCATCCTAGCACCTACAACAGTGTCTGGTGCATAATATTATTAATACACATATGCTGAATTAACAAGTTTTTATCTCTTTTTATGAATTAAATAAACCAAAGTTTAAAGAGATTAAACAACCTGACCAATGCATACAGCTGGTAAATTTTAAAGCAAAATCTTTAACTTAGATCTCCAGAGTCAAGAATCAATACCAGAGACACTATATTCTACTGCTCAAGGATTGAACATAGGGGTAGCTTATAAGAAGGTATAAAAAGACTAAAGTATGGCCTATGAGGAGCTTATAGTCTAGTGAAGGAAGCAGGTATACTCAGGTACAAGTAATTTAAAACAATGGGCGGTGGGGAGGGAAGCTATTATGAACATTCCTACAAAGCATTATGAAATCCCTGAGTATGAATAACTGACTTCTAATTACAGGGGCATATGCAGACTTCACTGATCTGGTCTTTCAACTGGATCTTGGAAAATTATGAGAATGTTTTCAGGTGAACAGAGTAGAGTTGGGGTTAGGGGAACAGGCATTGATGGCAGCAAGAAAAGCATGTGCAAAGACATTGGGAGTTTAGAAAAACATGACCTGTTCTGAAAATAGAAATCATTTGTCTTTGGGGCATCAAGTGTTTGACTGCAGAGGTGAGAGATGTGACTAAAACATATACTGGTATTAGGAAGGGTCTTTAACATCAGCATTTGCTCTTTGTTTTGTAGGCAATGAAAATACATGAAAGCGGTTCAAGCATGGCATGACCAAATTTGTGTTTTTGTTATATAACTCTAGTCGTATGTAGAGAATGGATTGGAGAGAGAAGAGACAGGAAGCAGTGAAACTAACTAGAAATCTAATAAAAGAGCTCAGGAAAGAGATGATAACTCAACTAGATAACCTCTCAGTGGTGTTGAAGAAAAGAAATGGAAAATGAAAAGAAAAGGGAAAAAACGAGGTAGAATAATCAGGAACTTGATGAAGGTGTTGATGAGCAGGATGAATCCAAGAGGACTTGAGGTTTCTAGATTCTGCGAGGGTGAAATATGTCTTACTAAGATAAGGAACATAGGAAGAGGGTGAGATGATGGGTTTGGGCTTAGACCAGTTGAGTTTAAGGTATTGATAGAAAAACTAGGTGGGGTTTTCTAGGAAACAAGTAGTTCTCTCAGTATGTAGCTCAGGAAAAAGACTGCAGTACAGATCTGAATTTGGAAGTTATCGGATTATATGCAATATTCTCAGTGTGAAGCTGTGGTGTGAGAAGCCAAGCAGGCAACCTTTGTACTTTTGAGAAGCAAGGATATTTAACAAGACAAAGCTTGAAGTAAAATCAAATAAAAAGAAGGAGAAAGAGTCCTGCACTAGCCATGAAAATTTCAAGGAAAGAACATTCGAGGCAGAAGGGAGAGCAAGGGCAAAGAGCATGAGATGGGTGTGAATTAAGTTCCAGGAAGAGGAAGAATGCCATTTGGTCAGAATATAATGAGGGAAAGGGAAAATGGTACTATCATAAAACGTCATTTTTTAGTTCAGATCTGACAACAGTTTTTTTAGAATCTCAGATAGTCAACTTTCAGGGTAAATAGAGAAAAAAATGTACTATTTTATATTTGAGGAATTCTCCAGGGAAGGAATAAAAACTATTATTGTTCCAACTCTTTGGGTGGCTATTGTTGTGATTCACAACAATATTAATTCAGCAGGAGCTAATCTGTACTCTGTAAATAATGGGTGTTGCTCTTATTGCTTGCTTATCACTTTCCTTCTTGTTTATATTAACAATCATGAGAAGGCAACAGTTGAAAAAGCAACAGCAATGGGAAAAAAAAATCAATAACAAATAAACTCCTTTAAGTTTCAACAATTTGTGGAGGAGGATTGCATGCAAAGACCTGCCCAGTCAGATGATACCATGTTGATTTAAGCAGATCAGAGATTACAAAAAGGTTCCAGATATATTTATATAGAAGTAAGTTCTTAATTTATTTTTGTTTATAGACCTCATTGAGAATCTAACAGACACCATAAATACTTCCCTAGAAAAATTAAAACATTCACATTTATACAAAATGTGCATAAAAATTTACAGGCTATTTGGGCCCTTATGGCCTATCTATGTGGTCCAGAGCACCTAATCAAGGGGTTTCAAAAAACTTACTGTATATTAGAGTCACTTGGAAAGCTTGTTAGAAAGCATAAGCTGAGCCTTGCCCCCAGAAGGATGTGAAATGGGATGTAGGAATCTGCACTTCACATAAGTTCCCCACGGGATTCTGAAGCAGGTGGGTAACAGACCACACTTGGTCAAACTTTGCTTGATCAATAGGCTAGGAGTATGCCCAGAAGAGGATTAGAGGGTGGAGGCTTAGAGAGGGGGAGGTTGAAAGCACCTAGAAATTCAGGAGAGAGAATATGATCCTGGAAAGCTGAAATTAGGCAGTTTGATGCAGGGAGAATAAACAATAGGGTAAAGTAGATGTGAAAAATCAGAGCTTTGCAAGTTGGAGCAAGACGTATTAGGAGTGGGGCACAGGACCTTGGAAAATGGTTGAGAACATTGGGAAGACACTTGGCAAGGTAATCTGTCACTGAGACAATCCCTTGTGATAAAAACAAGAAACAAAACAAAACAACAACAACAACAAAAACTCTCAGGTAAGAAGATTCTTTAGATTGCCTTTGAGGAGAGATTGTCTGCTGTCTCCCTTAGTCCTCTTGAGCTACTCAAGCTAGAAAATGAAAATGGGATTTATTACACACATCGCTAACGAATATATCACTATCCACCACGTTCACTAAAGAGTCATAGTACCCGCACTGGGTGAGTCCTTTTTTCTTTAACTTTACAGATGAACAAATGGAGGTACTCAGGGAAGAAGACACGTGCCCAAGATCACCCAGTAAAATAGCACCTGTGCCAAGACCAGAACCTAACTTTCTGTCCCATGGTCCAGTGCTCTTCCTCCTCCTTACTTGGTCCTACAATAAAACATACTGTATGGAACTATTTGATGGAAATGTGCTAACCCTGAAAAGAGTTCAGAACGTTCATTTAGACACAAAATATACCTTAAGATAGGGCAATATTTTTTAATTAAAAATAATACATTGACGTATGCCACAAATTTCGTTTTTCATTCATTTAATGCAATGCAGTCATTATCAACAGCAAAGCGGACAATATCAAGACTTGTCTCAATGCTTACTTGCCCCCTGACATGGAGTGGAGGATGAATTCGACTGCATTGTCAATGATCTCTGTGCCCAGGGTGTGCAGAAATTTTGGAAAATTGTCTGTGTTGTTGTCTGAGTCAGCTGGCTTATCATCTGGCTTGCCATCTGGTTTGTCATCTGAAAAACAGAATAGAGGCTCAGAGACGATTCTTAGCAACAAGAAAGGGAAGTCTCTTTTCTTTGCAGCTAACTCCTAGAGACCGTTGTTCCACTCCCCCTCACTAATTATGCATTTTCATGTTGTTACATTTATTGAACATTTAATGCCTTTCTGGTTAAAGTCTTTACATGCATTATTCCAACAAAAAGATAGGTAGACACCTTGATACTTAGGGAGACATTGGCTCCATTTTGTGGATAAGAAAATTGAAGCTGTAAGACAGTACACAATACAGGGGAAGCCAGCACAACTTGTATAAGCAAAGGTCATGGAAGCTCCATAGACACATCCAAACTCCCTGAGGAACTGAATTGTTAGGCGAAGGGCTGTGGGAACCATGGTCTTGGGGAACATCTAGCTCAATTGGCATAACACAGTTTATAAAGACAATGTTTTACATTCTACTTTGGTGAGTAGCATCTTGGCTCTTAAAAGCCTGTGAGTAGCCATCTAAGATACTCCACTGGTCTCACCCCTTCAGGAGCAAGGGCTTATGAAGAGAACAGGATACAAAGAAAACATTAGTCCAAAGGACTAATGGACCACAGCTACCAAGGCCTCCACCAGACTGAGTCCAGTACAGCTAGATGGTGCCCGGCTACCACCACAGTGTGCTCTGACTGAAATCGCAATAGAGGATCCCGGACAGAGCTGGAAAAGGATGTAGAACAAAATTCTAATGCACAAAAAAAAAAAAAAAAAAAAAAGACCAGATTTACTGGCCTGATAGACTGGAGATACCCCAAGAGTATGGCCCCCGGACACCCTTTTAGCTCAGTGGTGAAGTCACTCCCAAAGTTCATCATAAAAAAAAAAGAGAAAAAAAAAAGAAAACGGAAGCTCACAGAGACTAAGTAACTTGTCTAGAGTTAAGCAGCTAATAAATGTCAGTACCAAGATTGAAAAACAGATTTCAAACCCTGGTCTGTCTGGAATTAGATTCTTAATCACTCTGTGATGAATGGCACAATCTTTGACAGAAAAGTTATGATATAACCACAAGTCTGTTGTAACATTGAAAATAGTATAATAATGATGATGACAGAGAGAAATTCTATTATTTTTGTGTCACCTAATAGTTTTGCAAATAATGTGTGATTTTACCTCTAAACAACTTTATTGGCTGTATATTTTTTAGTTCACTGGACTGAGAAACTGAAAAGTTTATGTGACTTGCAGAAGACCGCCCAAACAGCAAGAGAAGAAGATGGGACTACAACTGTAGACCTTTTACTTATGACAAGTAATCAAGTGTTCTTTGGACTGAGAGCAAAAAATCCAGAGAAAGGTAAGTTAGTGAGATCCTTTAGGAGTCTTTAACCTTTGCTTAGTGGTCTTAATTCTTCAGGAGATGAGAAGGAATGGAATTGTGGAGTTAACAGCTACCTGTGGCTTCCCAGCAGGTACTAGTAACAGAATGAAGTAGGGCCATCATCTTTTTTTTTAGAACTCAATAAATTATGAATTAATAAATGAATGAGTTGTCTAGGTCTCTGATAAGTAACCTCACCTTATCTATGGTAGCACAGTTATTAAGACCCCATCCAGTGAAGGTCTCTCTAAGCTCATCCTCTTTCTATTACATCTTAGATCCTCCACAGCTTCTGGTCATCCTCGGGTCATCCATATATTTGGGCTAGAGCCATCTTCTTTTAAAATTGTTGTAGCCTCACAAGTAGAGTTGCCAGATTTGTTAAATAAAAAATACTTCAGGAAGCCCAGTTAAATGTGAATTCACATAAGTAACAAATAATTTTTTAGCATAAATATGCCCGTGCAATGCTTGGGACATACACATACCAAAAGATTATTCGTTTACTTGAGCAGCAAGTATTTTATTCGGCAACTCTACTACAAGCCTTGACTCATAAATTCCCTACGTCTAGACAATGTATCCAGTGACTTTGAGTAAGGGAAATGTAATTAGATTTTTGTGTGAAGATGGTCAGATTATATCAGAAGCCTTACATCTATATTATATCCTAAAATAGAAATCATCAGTTTAAAAAAAAATGGCAATCACTTCTGCAAACATTTATTGTTTACTATGCCACAAGCAAAGATCTGATAGAAGCACCAGTCTGGGTCCTGTAATCAAAATCAATATACAAATCACCAAGTATTTGTTCATTCAGTTGTTGTTTCTTTCATTCAATAAGTTTTTTTTTTTTTTTTTTTAGCTTACTATCATGTACATCTACTGGTGCCGTGGTTAAGCATTTGGCTGCTAACCAAAAGTTAGGCAGTTCAAATCCGCCAGTCGCTCCTTGGAAACCCTATGGGGCAGTTCTGCTCTGACCTATAGGGTCACTATGAGTTGGAATCGACTCAGCAGCAACAGGATTAGGTACATCTGAGTCCCTGGGTGGTGCAAATGGTTAAGCACTCGACTACTAATCAAAAAGTTGGTAGTTCAAATCCACCCAGAAGCTCCTTGGAGTAAAGACCTGGTGATCTGCTTCCAAAAGATCACAGCCATTAAAAAACACTATGGAGCACAGCTGTACTCTGACATGCATGATGTTGCCATTAGTCAAAATTGAATTGATGGCAACTGGTTATTATATATATCCACCACCCACCTGTCAGTATGTTGTACTTTGGTGGCTTGCGTGTTGCTATGATGCTGGAAGCTATGCCACCAGTATTTCAAATACCAGCAGGGTCACCCATGATGAACAAGTTTCAGCTGAGCTTCCAGACTAAGACTAGGAAGAAAGGACTGGCAATCTACTTGCAAAAGTTAGTCAATGAAAACTCTATGGATTGCAAAAGGATATTGTTCGATATAGTGCTGGAAGATGAACCTCCTTGTTTGGAAGGCACTCAAAATACACAGTGGCCACAACAATGAACTTGAGTATACCAACAATAGTGAAGATGGCACAGGACCAGGTAAAGTTTCATTCTGTTGTATGTGGGGTCATGATGAGTCAGAGGTGACTCAGTGGCAACCAGCAACAAATTATGTGCATAGCATATGCTGAGGGGTAAGGTAAAGAAGGACAAATATCGACAAGACCCTCACATAAGATGCAGGACAATCACAGAACCCAGAAGAATTGATTTGTTTTTATCACAGGAAGAGGAAGGAAAGGGAACTCATATTTGTGGGGTACCTACTGCGTTTTCATCACATACCTTAATCCTCATTCAGTTAAGTGATGGTGTTACAATTTTACAGAAGAGAAGACAGACACTTCAAGTAATTAAATGACTCATCTAAAACCACACATCTAGCATGTAGCTGAGTCAGTGTTTGAGCCATAATTTTTTTTCTGACTCCACAGAGGGTGTTACTTATGTAATACTATCCTCAAGCAATTGTCTGAAAATATTTGCAGCTGCATGAAGGGTAAGTTCTTTTGCCCTGTATTCCTATCTGCCTGCTTGTATAATCATTTAGTGTTAATGATTTTTTATATCACACTAAATGCCAGCTTTTCAATATTCCAGGAGCCGGGGGTTGGTGTGTGTTTATGGAGACCAGATCCTTGACTCCAGCTGTTACTAGTTTGCTATGTAATATGGGACAAGTTATTTGCTCTCGCTATCGTACCACAGATATTATGAGAGGTAGTAGAACGTGGTGGTTTACATACTTAAGAGTGCTACACAACTTGTACAAGGAAAGGTCATGAAAGCTCCATAGACACATCCAAACTCCCTGAGGGACTTAGTTGCTGGGCAGAGGGCTGTGGGGACCATGGTCTTGGGGCACATCTAGCTCAATTGGCACGATACAGTTTATAAAGACAATGTTCTACATTCTACCTTGGTGAGTAGCATCTCGGGTCTTAAAAGCCTGTGAGCGGCCATGTAAGATACTCCATTGGTCTCACCCGTTTGGCAGCAAGGGAGAATGAAGAGAACAGAATACAAGGAAAAGATTAGTCCAAAGGGCTAATGGACCACAGCTACCATGGCCTCCACCAGACTGAGTCCAGTACAGCTAGATGGTGCCCTGCTACCACCATTGACTGCTCTGACCGGCATCACAACAGAGGGTCCTGGACAGAGCTGGAGAAGGATGTAGAACAAAATTCTAACTCACAAAAAAAGACCAGATTTACTGGCCTGACAAGACTGGAGAAATCCAGAGAGTACGGCCCTTGGACACCCTTTTAGCTCAGTAATGAAGTCATTCCCGAGGTTCACCATTCAGCTGGGGATTAGACAGCCTCATAAAACAAAACGGGACTAATGAGGCACAGCAGTCCAGGGACAAGGACTAGAAGGCAGGAGGGGACAGGAAAGCTGGTAATAGGGAACCCAAGGTTGAGAAGGGACAGTGTTGACATGTTGTGGGGTTGTTAACCATTGTCATAGGGCAATATGTGTACTAACTGTTTAACGAAAAACTGTTCTTCAAACCTTCATCTAAGGTAGGAAAAAAGAAAAAAAGAATTATCTATGTAAGATCAAATTGACAACAGCAACTCAAAAGGTTTGATGGGAAGCCTAGGGGGCAGTGAGTTGAAGACAATGGTGATGGAATAATTTGGAAAAGGATAGTGAGAATAGCAGCACAACCGGAAGAATGTAATCGATGTCACTGAATTGTATATGTATAAATTTTTGAAATGGTGTAACTTTGGCTATGTATATTTTCACCAAAAAAAAAAAAAAGGTCCTCCAAGGTCGAGAAGAGAGAGTGTTGATGAGTGTTGACATGTCGTGGGGTTGTTAACTAATGTCATAAAACAATATGTTTACTAACTGTTTAATGAGAAACTATTTGTTCTGTAAACCTTCATCTAAAGTACAGAAAAAAAATTTAAAAAAAAACTTAAAAAAAAAAAAAAGATGCTGCAGAACTGAGCTTGATTCATGTCTTCAACAAAATTTACCCAGGTGACCTCATTCACAATGTTTAACCATTCTGTAACTTAGTTTCATTGTTGTTCTCAGAACTGAAAATAATATATACAGCAATTAGCATAGTACCAGACTCCAGGTAAGCCCACAATACATGTTTGCTAGTTATTATTACTATAGAAAATAATTTAAGCAGCTAAAGGATGTATAATTCTCTTTCTTTTCTAGTGTTTTAGGAGTTTATGAAAATTTAAAAAAATTGCTGTGATATAATCAAGAAATTTGACATCCTAGACTCAAATATCAATATCAAAATATTAAAATATCAAAATAATTTTGTTCAAATATAACATAGGATTTTCTTTATTTACTTTAACTTCTACCTGGTTGAGTTCCTTAGTCAGTGTGATTATAAAGTTCTGAACAAATACAGTATTGTCTTTTACAGTTTACAGAATGATTGCAAACGCATGTTCCTTTTACCTGTTGAGGCTGGTGGTTATTATCCCTTGGTACAGATGAAGGAACTGATGTTCAAAGCAGTGAATTGATTCAACCTCAGTCCCAGAGTTCATGAGATGCAGAACTGGGACTGGAACCCAGGTCTTTAGGATACAGACCTCTTCTTTCACTTTATCACAGTGATTAAGAGTAGGGTACACACAGTGGTCTCTGTGGCCGTCTCTGCAGTAATTCTGTTGGAGTGTCTGCCTGTGTGCTGTGCTGGTGGGCAGTGAGTGGATAAGGCCGTGAGCTCTACCATGTTACATTTAGAACGGTTCAAATGGCTCCATTGCTAAATATTGCATTGTTTGTGTTTTCTGAACTATCATTCTGAACAGAGACAAGTCAAGAACACATAGTCTTCAGCAGACAGAGAGAGAGAGAGAGACAATGCTACATGTTACCTTGTGGTCCTTTATGTGCGTGGAATAGATATGAAAGAAGTGGATGATTAGTTATAATGGAAAGAATCTAGCACTGAGGTTTCAGTGTCAGGTTGGCCACTTCTAACTGTGTCTATGCTCAAGCAACTTTCCCTCTGTAAGCTCAATTTATTAACTTGTAATGATAAATTATAAATGATAAAACTGTACTTTTTTTAAGTTTATTCATATATGAAAGGGAAATGGTGAAACTATGTATGTTTACTTAGTAGGATTATTATGAGAAATAAATGAGATGGTACATGAAAGCAATAACAGTTCCTAATTATTGGGTGTGTACTATGGACAAGGTACTGTTCCAACTTGTTTTGTCTCTTTGATTTATGTGATAACTTTTTTTGAGATAGTCACTATTAATATTCCCCTTTGAAATATGAGGCACACAACGGACACGTGAGGAAATGCTCGCGATCACTAGCCATTAGAGAAATGCAAATTAAAACCACAGTGAGATACCATCTCACCCCGGCATTACTGGCACAAGTCAAAAACACTGGAAATAACAAATGTTGGAGAGGCTGCAAGGAAATCAGAACTCTTAGGCACTGCTGGTGGGAATGCAAAAGGATACAACCATTTTGGAAAATGATATGGCACTTCCTTAGAAAGCTAGAAATAGAAATACCATATGATCCAGCAATCCCACTCCTAGGAATATATCCCAGAGAAATAAGAGTCCTCATATGAACAGACATATACATACCCATGTTCATTGCAGCACTGTTCACAATAGCAAAAAGGTGGAAACAGCCTAGATGCCCATCAACAGATGAATGGATAAACAAACTATGGTACATAAACACAGTGGAATATTATGCAATGATAAAGAACATTGATGAATCTGTGAAGCATCTCATAACATGGATGAAACTGCAGGACATTATGCTGAGTGAAATAAGTCAATCACAAAAGGACAAATATTGTATGAGACCTCTACTGTAAAAATTCATGAAAATGTTTACACACAGAGAAACAATCTTTTTTGGTTACAGGGGATGGGAGGGGTGGGGGGAAAATACTAGATAGACAATAGATAAGCGGTAATTTTGGTGAAGGGTAAGACAGTACACAATACTGGGGAAGCCAGCACAACTTGTACAAGGAAAGGCTATGGAAGCTCCATAGACACATCCGAATTCCCTGAGCGACCGAATTGCTGGGCAGAGGGCTGTGAGGACCATGGTTTCAGGGAATATCTAGCTGAATTGGCATAACACAGTTTATAAAGACCATGTTCTACATTCTACCTTGGTGAGTAGCATCTGGGGTCTTAAAAGCCTGTGAGCAGCCATCTAAGATACTCCACTGGTCTCACCCCTTTGGCAGCAAGGGAGAATGAAGAAAACAAGATTCAAGGAAAAGATTAGTCCAAAGGACTAATGGACCACAACTACCACGACCTCCACCAGACTGAGTCCAGTACAACTAGATGGTGCCCGGCTACCACCACTGACTGCCCTGACCAGGATCACAACAGAGTCCTGGAGAGAGCTGGAGAAAAATGTAGAACAAAATTCTAACTCACAAAAAAAGACCAGATTTACTGGCCTGACAGAGAGTGGAGAAACCCTGAGAGTATAGTCCCTGGACACCCTTTTAGCTCAGTAATGAAGTCACTCCTGAGGTTCACCATCCAGCCAATGATTAGATGGCCCCATAAAACAAAACGACACTAATGGGTCACAACAGCCCAGGGACAAGGACTAGAAGGCAGGAGGGGACAGGAAAGCTGGTAATAGGGAACCCAAGGTTGAGAAGGGACAGGGTTGACATGTTGTGGGTTTGTTAACCGTTATCATAAGACAATATGTGTACTAACTGTTTAATGTGAAACTATTTGTTCTGTAAACCTTCATCTAAAGTACAGTAAAAATTAATAAATAAGTATGAGGCACAGAGAGGCTAAATAACTTACCTAAAGTCACATTTCTAGTTAGTGGTGGAGCCAGGACTAGGAGTCTTATTCTGGAGCACATACTATTAGCCTTTGAATATCATTAGTTGTAATAATAAAAAACAAAAACAAACAAAGAAAAACAAAACAAAAATCACCACTTAGCTCTCAAGGAAATTATAAGATAATAGTGTCAGTATGTCTTATGCGTATATATTTAAAACATTATTCCAAATTTGACATGTTCATTGATCATAGAGGCCATAACTGAAGCAGAGTTTAATAAAACTTTAGTTGTTGTGTTAGAAGTGACCTCAGAGATAAAGCAGAAGGTATGCCTTTTGTCTCCTAGTTCCTCGTCCAGTGCTCTTTTCGTGGCGCCTGACACCCCCACCCCTCTTGTGTTCTTCATCAGTGCAGCACTCTCCTCGCATCATGGCCAACAACTGCACAATGCATGAGCTGTGGGCAGACACACTTACCTGCTTGGCAGGTCAGGATTAAGATAAGGAGGCCCAGGAAAATTGTCAACCGGAGTACTGAGACAGCCATTGTAGCAATAGGTATCACTGCAGATAAATTGCTCAGATTCATCAGAGGCTTTGCTCTATTTATAAGGCAGGCGTTAACAGGTGACATCATCTGCCATGGAATTTAGGTTGTTGCACAAATGTCTGAACTGCTTCCTCTTAGATCTGTATTAATAAGCCCTGACCAATGTTTTACAAGTTTTTCCTGTAGGGAGAGACAAATACTCTTGGTTTTTACGATGTGTATTTATAAATGGCACTGGAATAACTCTTTGGGGGTAGTTCCAATGCCAGTGCTGATAATGAGAGAAGCATCAGGCAGAATTACTATTTAGCACCACGAAAGAAGAAACAGATCTGATTGGTGAGGAGTGCCTACTTATAGTTTACAAGATGACCTTGCATACAACGTTACTTCCCTCCCTGTGCATTCTGTTTCTTTGCCTATACTCAGAGCTAATCACAATCCCCATATGGGCATATGTGACTGCTGGCAAATGAATGATACCACTCTGAGTCTCGGTTTCTTCATCTGTAAAATTGGAACCTAATATAATTTCTGGAGCCCTGGTGGTGCAGTGGTGAAGAACTCGGCTGCTAACCAAAAGATCAGCAGTTCGAATCCACCAGCCCCTCCTTGGAAACTCTAGGGGCAATTCTTCTCTGTCCTATAGGGTAGCTATGAGTCAGATTCAACTCAATGGCAACAGCTTTTTTTTTTAATATAATTTCTGGCCTATTTATCTGCATTGTTTTAAGCATATATGAGATAACAAAGATAAAATGCCTCATAATCTGTAAAGACTCTTTAATAGGTGTCATATTAATAGCAGTTAAGAAGCTGTGACTTATTCTCCATTAACATAAGCAAATGAAGTTGACCTTAATTAGAGGAGAAACTGAGTTTATTAAAGAGGAATTTCACCTAAGCTGGAAATAGGAAGATGAGGTCTGTCTTGGTTATGTAGTACTGCTAAACAGAAATACCACAAGTGGATGACTTTAACAAACAGAAGTTTATTCTCTCACAGTCTAGTAGGCTAGAAGTCCGAACTCAGGTCGTCAGCTCCAAGAGAGGCTTTCTCTCTCTGTTGGCTCTGGAGGAAGGTCCTTGTCATCAATCTTCCTCTGGTTAAGGGGCTTCTCAGCAGAGGAAACTTGGGTCCAAAGGACAAAGGATGCACACTTCTCACAGTGTTGCTTTGTTGGTGATATGAGGTTCCCATGTCTCCCTGCTCACTTCTCTCTTTCATATCTCAAAAGACATTGACTGAAGACACAATCCAATCTTGTAGATTAAGTCCTGCCTTATTAACATAACTGCCACTAATCCCATCTCATTAACATCGTAGAGATAGGATTTATAACACATAGGAAAATCACATCAGATGACAAAATGGTAGACAATCATACAATCCTGGGAATCACGGCATCAGTAAGTTGACAGATATTTTGGGGGGACACAATTCAATCCAGGCCAAGATCCTTCTTTGTAGAATGACATTCCAGGTTGGTAAGAAGGTACAGGAATGAAAGGAATAAGAAAAACTTCAATTCTAATGGATATTTCCATTCTAAACTGAAAATCATCAGAATGCTTCCTCAGCGTTAGAAAGACTTGAAATTTGAGTTGGTAATCTCATGTAGATATTTCAGCATATGTGACTGTCACATCTTTCTCCCATGGAGCAGCTGGTGTGTTTGAACTGCCGACATTTTGGTTAGTAGCCAAGCACTTTAACCACTGTGCCACAATGACTCCTTTTTACTAAACATGGGCTTTGGGATCAAACAGAGCTTGGTTCAAGTTTCAAATCTGCCACTTACAAGCAGTGTGACTGTTGTGGATTGAACTGTGTCCTACAAAAATGTCTGTTGGTTTAACTGGGTCATGTTTCCCAGTATTGTATGATTGTGTAATCTGACATGATTTCCTTATGTGTTGTAATCTCTATCACTATGATGAGGTTATACTGATGATGTCTACAAGATTAGATAGTGTCTTAATACAATCTTTTTTGAGATATAAAAGGGAGAAGGGAGCAGAGAGACATGGGAACCTCGTACCACCAAGAAAACAGTGCCGGGAGCAGAGCGTGTCCTTTGGACCTAAGCTTCCTGCCCAGAGAAGCTCCCAGATGCATCAAAGGACCTTTCTCCAGAGCCGACAGAGAAAGACTTCTCCTGGAGCTGATGCCCTGAATTTGGACTTGTAGCCTACTGGACTGTGAAAGAATAAACTTCTCTTTGTTAAAGCCACCCACTTGTGGTATTTCTGTTAGAGCAGCACCAGATGACTGAGACAGTGACCTTAGAAATATTTCCTAATTTTTCTGTGCCTTGGATCCATTGTTTTAAAATAAGAATAATGATACTTCTCCAGGTTGTTATGAGAACTGCATGAAATAATCCATGCAGTTAACGCAGTACTTTGCACATACTATGTGATAAATACATGATAGACTTGTTGTTATTCTATTCTCTTCTACCTTGAGTTGTCCCAGAAGAGGGAGTAACAGCCATGCAAGCGGCACTAAAACCAAAACCAAACCCATTGCAGTTGACTCAATTCTAACTCATGGTGACCCCTTGCGTGCAGAGTAGAACTGCTGCATAGGGTTTTCAAGGTTGTGACCTTTTGGAAGCAGATCGCCAGGCCTGTCTTTTGAGGCTGTGTGGGTTAGAACTGCTACCCTTTTGGCTAGTCGTCAGTCAAGGGCTTAACCATTTGAGCCACCCAGCAGAGTTAGGGTCAATTAATGATAATGATAATAATAATAATAATAATAAGTTGCTAATAAGAACCTAATGCTGCCTACTCTGCTCAGGTACCAAACTAAATGCAACATAACAACAGTTTTGTCAGGAAGCTGCTGTTATTATCCTCATTTTATATACAAGGAAATTCAAGCTTGGAGAAGTTGTGTAATTTGCCCAGGGTTACAAATCTTGTATGAGCGAGAGCAGGGAATCTAATCTAAGGAAATGTGGCTCCAAAGTCTGTGCTCTTAACTATCCATCATGTTGTACTGGCATGTGCTTAACTCTGCTACTGACAAAAAGCCTGGACTGAGCAATGAACACACCAGTCACCAGCCTGTTTTTCCACAGATGCATTTATGTCTGCTCTGTTTTTTTTCCATTGGCCTTTTTCTTTTAGATTACAATTTTTTTATCGTGGTAAACATGTTTGTAACACAACATTTGCCATCTCAACATTCTTCACATGTGCAATTTAGCCTTTGAATTTCAAGTCTAGTCCCCTTCATTCACCGCTGTTGCAGCTGACTTGATGTATAGAATATGCCAGATGCACAGTGCTTTCTTAATCCTTGTCAGAAAGTGACCTGGAGATAGGGTTGCAGGATAAAATACAGGAAGCCCAGTTAAATTTCAGATAAACAATGAATAATTGTTTATGCTTATATCTTTATGCCAAATATTGCATGGGGTGTATTTATACTAAAAAATTATTCATTGTTTATCTGAAATTTAAATTTAACTGGAACTCCTGTATTTTTATTTGCTGAATCTGGCAACTTTACCTGGAGAGGCCCTCATGACTGTTTTCTTACATAAAACTCCAGTCAAGGAGTGAAGGATAGGACTTTGGGGGATCAAACAAACAATTAAAGAGTAGGATGTGAGAAGGCGAAATCATATATGAAAACTGGAAGTTATTGAAGGGGTCTAGATCCTCTTTAGGAAGAATGGCCTGGTGATCTACTTCGGAAAACCAGGCAATGAAAATCCTGTGGATCACAAAGGAACATTGTCCAATCTGCAACCAACAATGGGAATGGTCCAGGACTGGGCAGTGGTTTGTTCTGTTGTGCATGGAGTTGTCGTAAGTCGGGGCCCACCTGAGGGCAGTTAACAACAACAACAAAGATTCTCTTTAATATCACATCTGGGATATGTTTTTCCCCTGCACTGCTCATTAAGAAATCATCGGGCTCTCTCTTGTGCTTGGTTCATTCCAGCTAAACTTTCAGATAAACCATGAAAGGGATGCGTGTGGCTTTAGGCAGGGCTCCCGTGTTGTCCACATGCTGAGGAGTGGCCATAGTCTTTGTCACCTTAATCACCTTTCTACATATAGCTTATAACTGGGTCAATCCTCTTGTCACGGACTCATTTATTAATTTCTTATTCAACAAACATTTATGAAGTTTGTACTATTTGTCAGGTACTCTGCTAGGCACTGGGGATAAGAAGATGAAAAAACCAGTCCCTGACCTCACTTTTGTTGAGAAGGCAAATATGTAACCAAATAATTGCAATTAAATATGATAAATGCTAATGGAGGTATGGACAAATTACTACGGGAGAATCTAACAGGGAGCGGTGAACATTGCCTGGGGTAGGGAGGGGATCATGGAAGTATTATTTGTTTGGGGCCTTGAAAGGTGGGTGTGTAGGTGTTCACTAGGTAAGCAAGGTATGGAAAAGCCACTTCAGGTAGAAGGAATGATATACTCAAAGCCATGGAGGTGTGGAAGAGGATGGTGTATTTCTAGGAATGAGCTTTCAAATGCTTGAGGGTTGATATTGGAAGTGAATATTAAAGTGAACTAACTGAATCTTGAAATTTGTTTTAATTAATGAATATGCTTGGGAAAAATAATGAAGGGAGAGAGTTAGTTGGGGTGGGGGCTAAACTAATGATTAAAGCTCATAGCTAGGAATTTTCTTCTGTTCTTACTTCCCTAGTACAACCTCAGATAAGGGCATCCACATCCATCTAATTACCTGAGTTAGAAGAACAAGTTTTCTTTAACTCTTTTCTTGCTGCAGATCTAATTGACTCACAAAGTCCTATCAATTCTCCTTTTCAAATATTCTTCAAATATATAAAATTGTCCTCATTTCCACAATAAGTGTCTAGTGTGTAACTTTGTCTTGGCTATTACCAATAGCAATCTACCTAGTCTTCCTGATGCATGCCTCTCCCCATTCCAGGCTGTCCTCTACACTGATGTCGTTTTTATCTTTCTAAAATGCAATTTATGTTTACATCTT